TATCTTTTTAATAAATTTTTTTACTTGTTAATTTATTAAAAATATTTATATTTATTTATTTTTTATATATTAACTAACATTAACAAGATCCTAATTTTCTTTCATCCCTAATAATATGTTCAGATTAAAAAATACTCTCTCCTCCTTTTTCCTCATCCTCTTTTCTTCTCTATTTTCCTCAATTCAAATTTACGGTGAAATAATGAGTCCTAGGATAATAGATGTGGGCAGTTTTGCTGTTTCGTTAAGATATAGGGGCAGGGCATGGGAATCATGTTCTATTCTAAGCTGCAGACTCGGGTATGGAATTAGCCTGCCTGGACTAGTTTTCCATGATCTCGGTTAAGTTTGTATAGTTTTTCTAAAAATATTGATCAACAATACAAGCTAAGATTTTTTATTTTTTTAATATAATAATAAGAAGAAAGACAACTTGAATCTTAATATAATTAGTATAGATATGCATGTACACAAAATAGCATATAGATATAATAAGATATTATTATCTCCAATACTTGCTGTCTCATGTCTAGTACATCCAGATTTTCTTTTAAAAAATTTTCGAATGACTCAAAAAGAAATCCCTTTTATTATTTTATAGTTCATCTGTAGCTTACAGAGTAAAATTTGGATGTAGTGATTGGAAAAAATACTCCCTAATCTCTCTTTTATGTGGTAAGATTAAAGAAAAAATTTCTCACAAACTAGATCAACGCACGATTATCACCCCACAACACTATGAGTGCTCCCCTTGATATGGTTAAAGGCACTTAAAATTTTTTTTTAATATAATTAATAAAAAAAATTAACACTCAGCCAATCAAAAGCAATCGAGTGGAGCCAACACTACACTTTGCAAATTCTTATACCCACTTGTCTCAATTTTAAAATTAAAATTTCATATTTAATATATCAAATTATTATCAAGTGATAAACACTCTCAGACCTCTTAATTGTAAAAGTTAAATTAATTAGTATTTATTTATTTATGGCACATCACAAAATTTCGGAAAAGCAGAATCTTTCCTGGTAATCAATCGTGTTGGAAATGGGACTTTATTTCCACTAACCACGTGAAAAGAACAAAAGGCATGAAAAAGATAAACAAATCAATTATGCACGAACCAAGACAAAACCTACACATAATTTCACCAACTCATAGGTATGTAGTCCTTGTTCCTATCTTCACCATTTTCCTTGCCCTAGTTGGTCTCTTTTGGTCCCGCATTAGTTACTTATCCACTCCCAATAATCCCTCCTTTACGTGTGTCCATCAACTACTTGAATTCTTTTGGTTTATGGTTAGTTGTCACACTTTGATTTTATATACAAATTTAAATAATGTTTTCTCTTTGTTTGATCAGTCAAGATGATGTTTTTGAATAAATTTGTATATTTTTAAAAATTAATAATTTATTATTATACATAACATATGATTATGATCACACATTATTTTATTAAATTTGTAAATATTTTGTTTATTTTAATCAACATTTTATCAGTTTATTTTTTTCTTAAACAATTTATTATGATGTATGACAATATTAATTTATAATTATTTTTAATTTATTAAGTGATAACTATTAGTTAATTTATTAATTTTTTTAGTTAGTATTTTTCATAGAAAAATTGAATAGAATTAATAATTTTAAAAGTAATATTATATGGTCACGTGACCATAATCACACTCGTGTATATGCTTGTGGATATTTTTTCAACACAGTAAAAACCTAATAAAGGTTTAGGGGTGTACTAAAGGGTGTAGTTTCGATAGGAAGTAATTGAAGAAGTCTTGGGATGGATGGGAGGGAAGTTTGTCAAATTGATTTGAAATTAATTTTGGAGTAAAGTCTAAGATACCTAAAATGAGGAAAGCAATTTTTTTTTTCTTTGGGGTAATGAAATTAGGGGTCTTTAGGTAAAATAGGACAATAATAATAATAATAATGAATGGAAGACCAAATGTCAAAGCGGTTGGCGGCATGAATTCACAACTACGGATAGAAGGGGCAACGGCGATGTAGTCAAATTTGTTATGGGGTACTTCTGAGCTTAGAACCCAAATTGTCATGATGGATTAAATGAATCACCTGACCTATGCTAACAACCCATACATACAAGATATATCTTTTTGCTTATTATAACATAAATATTTGAATTTTTAGTCTGATTAATTTTAGGATATTTTCACTTAACGAAATGAATCATTACAACTTAAAATAACTTTGTTGATTATATGTTGTTTTAAGTGATAGTATTTCCTAATTCTAAAATCAGGTACAAGGATTTTTTTTTTTTTTGAACATGTTTACATTTTGAGGAGAGAGATTTGAATCTCAACCCTTCGAATGAGAAGTGCATTTTACTATGAGACATATAGTAATTGCTTGCAAAGCTCTAATGCAAGAATAAGGATTTGAATCTAAAGTAATTAAATAAAGTAATAAACTAACTTTTTTTATTATAATTTAAATTGATGCCTAAAATAAAAGAGTTTTCTACTATTCTGTGCAGATTTTGTTAAACTATAAAATATAAACCATTAGATGTGGAAGAAAAATTTCAATATCAAAAGGCTTATCTCATCCAATGGTTAAAGTGTGCAGTTTAAATTATATAATAATTTTTTTAAAATAAAATATGTATTATATATGAAAACGATTTTGTCCAACCAAGAAATTTTGCAAGACAATACAAGGTTTGGAGAAGCACAGATTAAAAAAGAGGTTTTTTAAATCTAAAATATAAATCAAAATAGAATGTTGTACTAGTGGGACTACATAAAAAAAGTGAGAGTTTTTTTTTTTTTGCTGTTCTAAAAAAGAAAAGTGAGTTTTTTTTTTAACGGGCCTTGCGCAAGGAAAGAGCTAGTCCATTGAAGATTGAGTTTTTCTAATGGGCTAAAAACGAGAACAAGAAGCCTGCTCACAAACACCTAGTCACTATGTGGGCCGTCTGACTGTACAAACAAGTGACACGTAGTCAACGTGGGACCCACTACTCAAGTAAAGCAAACCTCAAAACCCTACACACACACACGCACGATCCAGATACCGCTGCTGCTAAACGATTAGGGGGAATGCGGGGAAGGCCAATTTTCCGTCCATTTCTTCTCCGACAAACCTTCAGAATCCGATCAATTTCCTCTCACTCTTCTCCGACTGGAACGATAATGTCGACTCCGAATTCCAATCCTCCAATTTCTACACCGCCGTTCACCTCCGCCGTGCAAAACCTCCAAGTCTCCAACCGCTTCTCTCATTTTCTGAGAATGTGTAGCTCCTCTGCCGGTACTCCTTTTATCTTTTATATGATCAATTCGTGTATTTTTTTTTTGTATTTTCCATATTTTCTTTACTTCGAGCTTGGTTGCTCGCGATGGAATGAATGTGAAAGTGTAAATTGCTGTTTGTTAGCGTGAATTAGGTTTTTTGGAATTTGATTCTCGTAGAATTAGACGGATTTTCATGTAATTTACAGGTGTTTAATTTAAAAAAATGAGTTATGTATTTGTGTGTGTAATTCATGCTTAATCAAATATTTAATTTCAGGTGCATCAAATGTTGTCCCCATCAAGTCAGAAGAGGAGTTCAACAATGCCCTCACCAAAGCACAAGGTATATTTCTTTGGTTTTATATGTTTAACAAGTCAGTTTTAAGCTCTTAGAGGACTTTCCTGTTACTTACATTTTTTTTGTTCGGGTTGATTGTAACAGAAGAATCTTTACCATCAATTTTCTACTTCACTGCTGCATGGTGTGGGCCTTGTAAGTTTTCTTGATAGCTTTTTCCTTCATTTGAATACACATGATGTATTAAATTTCCTTTTAACGAAAGAGTCTTGTTGTGTCATTCTCATGTTGTGCAGGCAGATTCATTTCTCCTCTGATTGAAGACCTTAGTAAGAAATACCCTCATGTAACGACTTTTAAGATTGATATTGACCAGGTTGGTACAAAGAATTGCCATTGTGAGGCTATAACTATTGAACTTTGGTTGAATTTTATAGCAAGCATCAATTAAAATGTGTTGTCTTTATAAAAGAAATTAAAAGACATAGTACTCAGAAAACTGACCCCCCACCAGATGTGTAAAAGGAACTAGTTACAAAGTGTGCTGTTGTGGGTTTCATGTTGTAAGTCTTGGTATACTTCACAACATTATGAGTTGACTTCTTGTTACATCAGACTCTCATTTTAGTTCCTACCAGTTTGGAATGAATTCTTTTAGGATATTAAGTAACGGATTGCTTGCCCAAAAATGTTCATCGTTATATTCAATTAGATCTTGCACAAGAATCTTCATATGTAAAATTTAATTTATAGAGTACCCAAATGAGCACCAAACATTTTCTAATAGACTACCTAGTTTCATTTACTTATTCCTTTATTGATTACATTAGAAATCAAAGACTGATTTTTTTTTTTGATTAGTGCTCTGACATAAATTAAAGATGATCTGGAGCTAATGTATCTAACATGTATGCAGGAAGGCCTTGGAAGCACCTTGGGGAAGTTAAATATTACGGCTGTGGTAAAATAATTTGATACTTATTGAACAATTATGACTTTTTCATGATTTATCTATTTGCAAAGCAGGATTCTAGCCCCTGTGGATGAATCAGTATTATATTTATATTTTTAATATTTCAACTGCAGTGTATAACTTGCTTTTCAACAGTCCTATCTATCTGCATGCAAAGATATCTTCTGCCACTTTAATATGTGTCTTTTGCTGCAGCCAACACTCCATTTCTTCCAAAATGGGAAAAAAGAGTCTGAAATGGTCGGTGCTGATATAGCTCGCTTGAACAATATTGTGGAGAACCTCTACAAGTAATTGTTCTTCACTAATCTTTCGTTGTTTCTGTTCTTAAGACTAAGGAGTTTGTGGTTGAATATTTGCAATCTTGTTCAAGGAATCTTCTTGGCTTCTAGATTAAAATAAAGACTAAACTTGATTAGGATCATTACAACACTGTAGAATATGTTTTTGGATTTTTTTTATTTTTATTTTTATCAGCAATAAGATGTGTTCTTGTAATTTTATCTGCATGTTATTGACACAATGGCACTACATGTTGGTGCCTTGCCACATCCGGGGTAAACTGGGTGGCTTTGAAGGTAAAAGTTAAGATCAGCTTCAGATTCTCAATGGTGTACTTGCCCGTTTGAACTATGATGTTTGTAATGACTTGCAAATGAACTTAGAAACAGAGGAAAAATTAGGATTTGGACATTATATCTGTGTGGAAATGGTGAAATATCTGCTTATTCGGAAGGATGCATGTTTCTGGGGCTCAAGCTGCACTTTCTTGTTTTGTTTCCAGGAAGGATTGATCAGCATCCGACAAGGAATTCAAGGAAAATGATCTTGTGATATGACAGGCTTGGAATCATTTCAAACAATCAAGATCTGAAAAGAATGGTTTCTTCAAGTTGTCCCTTTTCAAACACTTTTGATTTGGTAGGCGCTTAGCTTCTTTTCGCAGGCGTTCTATCATTACAATAAATCATCTTAAACATCACTTAGTATGACAGGATGTTCACAGTTACCAATACATAAACTTGAAATTCTTCTGCTTAAAATGAATGATCTTTAGACTGTTTAGGGACAGCTGCAATGGTTGCATCGAAATGACTTTCTCTACTGCTATGCCTTCTTCATAGAGGTTAGCAGTGAGATGACTTCAAAGAGGATTAATGGTAGATATGCCTGCCAAGCACAAACAATTTGGTGTGATTAAATGGTTGCTTTCGTGTCTTTTAAGGCATTATTGTTGTGCTTGTGTGAACTAATATTGAACTTGTTTTGGGCCTAAACTGAGTTTAAATAATGGGCTCATGGCCTGCCGTGAAACTATAGCTTGGTGACCACTGACCAGTTGCTCAGACATTTTGAAAATCTAGCCCGAGTACAATTTTATAAGTATACACCAGGCACGACAGCCCAAGCCCTAGTGCAAATATAACGCAGCTGATACTCTCAGCCCTCTTAAAATCTCAATCTTCTGCTATAAGCTCCTTTTTACACAATCATCTTTGATGATAAATTATATAATAAGAAAAACTTTGTTTTTTTCAACTCCTCACTAAGTAAATGGTTATCACCATTACTAATTTTGTTAAAATCATTAAAATTATTAAATTTTTTATCTTAATTTGATTATTATAAATAATTGATAATTATTAAAATAATTATTATTTATTATTTAATATATTGAAATTAATTTATAAATAAATACTTTTAAATATTATAATTAATCATTTAAAAATTATAAATTAATAAAAACACAAATAAAATAAATTATCTTAACAAAATCAATGGTCCGTATCTTCAGCCTCTTGCCAGTATTTTGATTTAGTTATACAATCAGAGATCCTTGTACATTTGTACTCATATTCACAATAATTTAATGCACCTTTGTCTTTGCTAGAAGCAACACTCTATAATCCAGCTGATCCATTCATCCTAATTATCCAGTGGCTTCAGATAATTACATTAACTGATCCAATTTTTTCAGGAGCTTTTCACATTGATATATATATTTTTTATATGTATGATTATCTATACACTAAAGAACAGATTTTCACTTCAATTTTTTTTTAAATTTTGTTTTAAGATTTTAATTTAAAATCTCTGTTGAAATATTAAATTCTTCATACCTGGGGATTCACATAAATATTTGGATGCATGTGAATTGACCATCAGTTGCGAAATGATGGTACATTGGTTCCTTCAAATCTTAAACCCCAATCTCATCTCTGTAAAAGCAAGAAGCCAAGAACTGAGGCATCTTCAAATACTTGCTTCTTTCCTTTTCATTCTAGCCTTTTTAGGTCTCCTTGGCCTTTTCATTAGCCCCATTGGGGGCATCTCCATTGTCCATTGTACTACTGGACGCAAATTTACTCTCATAAAAATGCCAATTTTCAAAAATACATTTATTCACACAATAGAAGTGGCCATTTCTACATCTCATTTCTTCCACAACTTTCTTTGTCAGTGAAATTTGCTTTCACATTTAATGAATTTCTTTCCTTTCACAACAAACAACGAGAGAAAAAGGACTCCAATGCTTCCTTTTCCCTTTTCATATAAAGAAGAACACATTCACTCAAACTGACCCATCTCTGATTTCTCAAGATATTTTTCTTTAACATAATAGAGAATGGTTATGATTACTAATAAGAATATTAAAATCACTAAAATTATAAATTTTATTTTTAAAAATATTAATTTTGTTTAATTTAATTGATAAAAGTAACTAATAATTATAATTAATTAATTAATCATTAATATAATAATTAATATTTATTAATTAATAATTAAAATCAATTAACAAATTAATATTTTAAGATATTATTTAAGAAAAAATTTGAAATATTACTAGCATTCACATTTTTTATAGTAGTAATAAACATCCCCAAACGTAACACGTCTAATAGATTTCTCCTCTCTACTAATTATATAATAATCAGCTTCTAAAGAAAGCTAAACACCATGTTTGGTAGGAAGAAAAGAAGAAGAAAAGAAAGGTAAACATTTTTATAGTTATAGTTTACTTAGGTTTTATTGAAATGTAATTAGTTTTTTATGCCATGTTAAACCCTGATAATATTTTAGACAAAATCTAAAGGATATGAAATTACGCAGGGAGTTAGGAATGGGGCAGAAGATAAGGGCATATGATTGGACTTGGAGATGAGTTTTTCCAAATACATTTGTTGACAAAGACACTTTGTTCTCGTGGATGGAGAGCATTAAAGTTGGGAACAGAGCGACCAGGCCCCTACTTAGGGAGAAGGGTATAGTAGAGGCCATAGGGAGTGATTAGGGTCAAATGGAAGACAGTGAAAGAGAGACCCATTGGTCAAAGAATGAGGACAATGATAGGCTCTGGAACATCTGATGTTGGGTCCATTCTTCCATTTCCACCTCCTGTTTTAGCAACACCACCAAGAGTGTGACAAGAATGTCCATGTCCACCTTTATGCTTGAGAATTGAAGTGCAGAATTTTGTATAAGTTGTTTTCAGAAGAGAGAATACCTGCAGTGGTGGTGGACCTCTTCAGTCTCTCTCCAAGCCAACCAATTCCTGTCTTTTGCGTTATAACCATCAGTTCAATGTTGATGTTGAGCTGCAGCCCTGAAGACCAACCACAGTTCTACCCCAAAGGCTCCATGGATACTCTTGATGCTCCAGAACTTCATTTCATACCCAACTACCATCAGTCATGTCCTTGATGCTTTCTTTCTTTTTGAATTCTCCCTCTCTCATTCTCCTTTTCACATTTGATGCTTTCTCACGAGTCAAAAAAGAAATACAATTGTGAAGGATATACAACTATTACAAGTACTAACTTTAAATTTGCAAAGATCACTTGAATTTCAAACTGAAAAATTGTTAGATTAGTGAAACTTTCAATCCAATTTATTTTGCATGTAATGGATGAGTTTAACCAAGGATTTGACTGAAATAA